CTTGGTTAAAAAAAAAAAAAAAAGAACAGCAGCAGCACTAGAAAATGACAATTAAAACTGGAGGTGACAAATGGAAAAATCAAATGCAAAAATAATTTGGAACCATCTAATATAGGGTTAAAGCCAAGTCAAGTTTAAAAATCATTTAGACAGGAGCAGACCCCAATCCCAAATACATGGACAGCCCTCCATCCCCCGAGAATTCACTTCAGAGGACAGGACCGAAGCTACAGCTCAGGGAGAGGGGTACATCTAATCAAAGCACACAGGAGCAAACGAAGGGGGGAGAGAGAAAGAGTGGAGCACATCCTGGCCCACCAAGCCCCAAGGATGATATTCCTGCTCAGAGCAGTCAATGCACAGAGAAGACCATAGGGCTGGCCCCACCACGAGACACGACGTCCCTCACTGACCCACAGTGCTATGGGGAACAACTCTGGAGACACAGTGAGGGAATTGTACCCCATTTGACCCCATCACACTGGGGTGAAACACTAAGGGTGTGCAACAGGGCAGCAAGGGGAGAAAAGCAATGAAGTCTCCCAAAATTAGACTGTGGGGTCAGAGAATGACACCCCATCAGATTCAACACTCCTAAAACTCAACAAACAGACCTTGAAACTATTTATAGGCATGTCTTTTCTTGTTGTTTTGTTTGCTGTCTTATTTTTGTGCTTATTATGGTCTCTACACGTCTATCTAGATTAAGATAGGCAGGATAAACATCTGGAGGAGAAAACATGACCGAAGGTTGGAGGGTGGGGAGACACGGGAGAGGGGGAGGCAAGGGAAAGGAAGTGGGTGTTAAAAAATCCAGGGATAAGGGAACAAAAAGTGATTCAAAAGCAATGGCAAGGAGGGTGCAAAATGCCTGGTAGGGCTTGATCAAGGGCAACGTAACAGAGAGGAATTACCAAAACCCAAATGAAGGCTGAAGGTGACAGCGGAACAAGAGGAAAGTAAAAGGAAATAGAGGAAAGAACAAGGAGGCAAAGGGCATTTATAGAGTTCTAAATACAGGAATGTACATATGTAAATATATTTATATATAACAATAGGAAAACAGATCTATATATATAAATTTATAGGTTTAGTATTAAGGGAGCAGACAAACATTGAGCCTGTACTCAAGTATTCCCTCAACACAAGAACACTTTTTTCTAATAACCTGCCATCAGTGACGTTCAACTTCCCGACAAACACTAAAAACAAAGCAGGTGTGTAAACAAATGTGGTGACGAAAGCTGATGGTGCCTAGCTATCAAAACATATAGCACCTGGGGTCTTACAGGCTTGAAGATAAACAAACAGCCATCTAGCTGAGAAGAAACAAAGTCCATATGGAAGAAGCACACCAGCCTGTGTGATCATGAGGTGTCGGTGGGATCAGGTATCAGGCATCAAAGACAGAGAACAAAAAATCATATTGATGTAAATGAGGGGGAGGGCAGAGTGCAGACCCAAAGCCCATCTGTAGACAACTGGACATCCCCTTACAGAAGGGTCACAAGGAAGAGAGGAGACAGTCAGGGTGAAGTATAGCACCAACGAAACTATACAACTTTCCTCTAGCTCTCTAATGCTTCCTCACCCACCCACCCCCACTATCATGACCACAATTCTACCTTACAAATCTGGCTAGAACAGAGCATGTGCACTGGTACAGATGAGAGCTCACATACATAGAAACCAGGACAGATAAACCCCTCAGGACTTATAATGAGAGTAGCAATACCAGGAGGGTACGGGGAAGGTGGGGGGGAGAAAGGGTAAACTGACCACAATGAACGACATATAACCCTTTCTCCAACGGGGATGGACAACAGAAAAGTGGGTGATAGGAGACATCGATCAGTGTAAGACATAAAAAAATAACAATCATTTATAAATTATCAAGACTTCATGAGGAAGGGAGGGGGAAAATGAGGAGCTGATACCAAGGGCTCAAGTAGAAAGAAAATGTTTTGAAAACGATGATGGCAACAAATGTACAAATATGCTGGAAACAATGGATGTATGCATGGATTGTGGTAAGAGTTATACGAGCCCCTAATAAAATGATTTCCAAAAAAATAAAAATCATTTAGACATTCTGTTTATCAAAGTACAGCTAGTATTTAAACTGTCTCAAATAATCCCCTCATATTTAGTTTATATCCTGTTTAAGGTACTTACATTCTGTGTGGTTTCTTTTTAATTAATCTATCTTATTCCCACTAAAATAGTTTCTCTCTGTATAAACCAAGTGCAATGGCCTCTTTTTCATTTTGGTATTCTAGACCCTACTGACTGTAATAAGTTATGATAATTATTAGACTAAATTTAAACCTATTGCTGAAGATGCAACAAAGGATATAAATATGTAACCTAATTCTTAATGTGGAAGGTTAGTCTCCTTGTACATTGATCACTGTAATTTGTTAGAATGTAAACTTATTTTCAAATCATTACTTTGCCAATAAATTAATACAAAGACTATATCTTCCTATGGGTTAAATTTAATTTTTGTGATAGTATTAATGAAATGAAAATCAGGAGAAAAACTATCATCTTGAATAAATAAATTTTCATTAAAAAAACGTTTAAGCATTCCAAAATGCAAAATTATGGAATGAAAAGGGAGGTTAAAAAACTTCATTTGAAAATGAGACATAACATACCTAACCCCCAAATTTTTAATTCCAGCATACTAATAACATCTCCTAGAACAGTGGTTCTCAAGATTCCTAATGCCGCAACCCTTTAATACATTTTCTCATGTTGTGGTGACCTCCCAACCATAAAATTATTTTTGTTGCAACTTCATAACTGTAATTTTGCTGCTGTTATGAATAGGACAGCCTCTGTGAAAGGGCCATTCGACCCCCAAAGAGGGCACAACCCACAGGTTGAGAATCCCTGTCCTAAGAAATTCTCTTAGTAACTAAGGCACATACCATTATATCTGAGAGAAAAATTCTATAATAACGGCTATCATTAAAAAAACAACTGTTGAATACTATATAAACATAATTTCTAAATTATTGCTAAAAGTAGAAAACATTTGATATTTTAAAGTATATTTGCTATATAAAGCAGTGTGCTTTATAAAATACACTAAATCAAATTTTGTAAAAGGTATTTATGTTTTAAAGTTAGTCCTTTTCTCATAATATTAAACTCAAGCTTAATTTTATGGGTATTGTAGATACAATTGTTCTATTTCCATTGTAAAAGCAGTCCAAATTCTACACACAGGGACATCTTTGCTCCAGAATACACACTAGCAATTTAAAAAAAATAAAAACTTCTTTGATGGTAAAAGAAAATGTAGATCGCTAAAGACAAATGTGTGCATTAAAAAATGTGGTGACGAAAGCTGATGATGCCTGGCTATCAAAAGATATAGCGTCTGGGGTCTTAAAGGCTTGAAGGTAAACAAGCGGCCAACTAGCTCAGAAGCAACAAAGCCCACATGGAAGAAGCAATCCAGCCTATGTGATCACAAGGTGTCGAAGGGATCAGGTATCAGGCATCATCAGAACAAAAAATGTATCATTGTTAATGAGGGGGAGATTGGACACCCAAAGCCCATTTGTAGGCAACTGGACATCCCTTTACAGGAGGGTCGTGGGAAGGAGACAAGTCAGTCAGGGTGCAGGGTAGCAACGATGAAACATACAACTTTCCTCTAGTTCTTAAATGCTTCCTCCCCATCCCCAACATCATTATCCCAATTCTACCTTAAAAATCTGGCTAGACCAGAGGATGTACACTGGTACAGACAGGAAATGGAAAGACAGGGAATCCAGGGCAGATGATCCCTTTAGGACCAGTGGTGAGAGTGGCGAAACTGGGAGGGTGGGGTGGGAAGGGGGAACCGATTACAAGGATCTATATACAACCTTCTCCCTGGGGGATGGACAACAGAAAAGTGGGTGAAGGGAGACTTCGGACAGTATAAGATATGACAAAATAACAATAATTTATAAATTATCAAGTGTTCATGAGGGAGGGAGGGGGAAATGAGGAGCTGATACCAAGAGCTCAAGCGGAAAGCAAATGTTTTGAGAATGATGATGGCAACAAATGTACAGATGTGCTTGACTCATGTATGTATGTATGTGTTCTGGTAAGAGTTGTATGAGCCTCCAATAAAATGATTTTTTTTAAAAAGGAAAATGTATTAAATATCCTTAATTTGTTGTGATTTGATTGAATTTTCTTCACTACAAAGCTGCTCCATTGGTCCATAAAAGAAAATTCAGTGTCCACAGAGAATCAAATAAAACTATTTCATCTAAAACATTTGACAAATGACTTAACCACAAGATTAAATGGTTTATTGCTTGCACACTAATCAAGGAATCAAAGGCCAAAAAAACTATGTCAACAATAAAGACAGTCTTTAAATTATAATTAACCTTGATGAGAAAATAACCAGAAAAAGAACTCAAAATAAGCAGTTGTTTTTACATATGCAATCAAGAAATTTCACTTATAAAGTATTAAGAATACCAAAATACTTAATACCAATTGAATTGCCATGCTTTAAAATATTTTAGGAAAAAAAAATACATTTGTGCCACTTGCTTCATGTCTGAAAAGAAGTTCTGTAAATAAAATCAAACGGATTTAGAGCAAAGCCCTTACGAAAAGGTAAGTTTATCTTTGCTATAGCTTTTTCCATTCTTTCCAAAAAATGTTTTGATTCCTTTCCCCCCCGCCCCCAATTAGTGGCTTACTCTTTTTCTAAAATTCATAAAATTAAAATCACTAAAAAGTCATTCAATTCATTTTTATAATATGCTTATTTCTAAAACCAAGTTCTGCTTTATAAGAGTGCATTAAAATTGAATGACAAAAAACTTGCGATTTTAAGCACATGTATCTTTACACTTAAAATTTAGGATTAGAAACATATATTTTTACTCTTTAATGAAGCTGTACTTTATGTTTAAAGCTTAAGATGTAAACAAAACATATCAACAATTGGTAAGAGAGATTCAGGCTTTACTTACATTTGTAATAGCTATAGCATTTTTATCGTAGTATTTCTTCTTTTCATATTTATCTCTGATGAAAAATTCCACCGCTCTGAAAACAAATAACTTAAGGAAAAACTTGAGTTCACTGTCATACATATTCACCTTTACACATTCCCCACCACTAAATCTAGATTCTAAATGTAATTTCAAATCTATGTTCTCTAACCTACTTTTCTCTTCCAGACAAAGAAAGTCGTCTACCTATTTCACGAAGTTTTCTCAACTCACCAAAAGCCACCCAAACCAATTATACAAGGACATAACCACAATTCGCAACACCCAACCACCTTCATCCCTCACTCTGACAAACGAACTCTCAACATTCAAATGGAGTCAATATAAGCAGGAATACACAGATCCATAAATTATAAACAATGTTGTACATTTTGTTTCCTTTAATCATCCCACAACCCAGTATAGGGTTTATGATTTCCCAACATACATGAAGAATGAGAAACTAGAAAAGTACAGCAGTTGGCTCCAGTAATACAAGGGGCTTCAAATTGTGTGGGGAAATTCTATAATCTTATAATTCCATTTTCCCACAAACTTTTTGAAACTTCTATGTGATTCCAAAGCCCAAATTCCTTTCCACTACATATACTGTTCTCTGGAGTTTCATATAGGATTCTTTGTATATTAGGAAAATAACGGTCAATTTTTTCCTTACTAAACCAAGAAATAGTGAAGGCAAGAAATCAAGGTCATTACTGTTTAATTTTTTTGAAGGTGGTCAAACTAGCCTAAACTATTAACAGTGTGAGCCTGTTATACTGGGATTTCAGTGTTTACAGTAGAGCTTCCCACACTTGTTTGGCCTACTGTTCCTTTTAAGGACGAAGAAAAAAAATGCAGTGCCTCTCAGCCAATTATAATATTTTTACTATGCCTATAATCCATGATAAAATGTAGGTCTAACTGCTTTGGCAATGACCCTGGATTGTGCCCCAGTGCCCGCCAGAGGGAGGTGTTGCGCACTGTAGGAAACACTGGTTAGGCGGGTAACAAACATAATTGTGTTGGACTGCTAACCAGAAGATTCCTGATTTAAACCTACCAGGCATTTAGTGGGAGCAAGATGTAGCAGTCTGCTGCCCAAAAGAATGACAACCTTGGAGACCTCTGGGGAAGTTCTACTCTGTCCTATTTCCCATGCTATCGAGTCAATTCTGTATCTGACGGTAGCAGAGAGAATGCTTCTCTTGGTGGGTGTGAACAGCCTGGCTGATGCTAGCAGTCCAGCACGTCCTTCAACAGTGATAGGTCTGTTATGAGTGAGAATCGGCTCAACAGCAGTGCACTGGACAGCAACTTAAGTGACTTTTGCCACATGACCAGCAATCATGGATCACAAAAATGAGAAATTTTTGTTAGAGGTTCTTTACTTCTTTCATGGCCATGAACCCCTGCCAGCCAGGTAAAGTTTGTAGCCTTCTTTTCCAACATATAAAATACCCAGAAATACAAAGTAAATTATACAAAATTACAAATATCTCTTTGGATCCCCAGGTTAAGGAATACTTTTTAGATAAGTGGATCAAATTAAAAAAAAAAAAAACACTTCCAGTTAATCATGCCTTTTATGTTAGTTAAATAAGACCCTTTTAAATCAACAGTCAAGGCAAAGGTAGCAGGACTGAAAGTTGATGGTGCAAAGTTGAGCATTATGAAATCATTTGAAAAGAGTCCAAGAATGGGGGAGGCAAGGATGAGAAAGCTAGCTATTGTTTATTAGATAAGCTGAATTACAAGATATTTTAAAACTTTAAGGGACTTTCTCCCCCCGCCTTTACAGACTATGAAGCATTTCCCACTTCACAATTAAAATTGGAGGAAAGAAAGCTTAAGAATGTGCTGCTTTTCTACAGTAAAAGGGAGTTTTCGTCTTATCATACATTAATCTGATTCAGTCAGCTAACCTCTGCTATAAAGTCAAAAGAAGAATATCAAACACTATATTGCTTTCAAGGGCATCTTCATGTTTCAAGTTAGTGTTTGGAAAACCTTTCAAACAACATTCCAGAGCAATCTTAAAGGTTGCTTATTTAGATGTGTTAAAATCCTAGAAACTAACCCAATACCACATCTTTACCATTTGCCAAAATTTTCACAAGATGTAATGTTACATACCAAATTGTTATCAAAAATATGCGTAAACCAGCTTAATGTTCTCCTGTCTATGATTGGAATCAAAAGTTCACTGTTACATTTTTCTATTTTCTAACAGAAAAAAAATTTTGAGCTGGTCTTTTTGGGTGGGATATCTAAATTTGAACACACTAAGCAATTATTATTATAGAAATTGTCTTTTTCCAAAGGGGGCGGGGAAAATTTGATTAAATAAGTAACCGTTCTTATTTCAAGTTATATAAAATATACTTCTGGCTAGAAAAATTATCTAGATATAAAAAATAGTGATTATACTTACTAATACATAGGATACAGTATACACATGGATAAGTATAAAGTACTGTACTGCTACTAAGGTTCTTGCTGATAGGTGAGCAGGGTTTATCCCAAACAAACTGTTTATGCATGTCTCTGCGATTACAGGATGGCTCCAAACGAGTTCTCTCAGTGACACATTTGTCTTAGTGCCCCTGAGTGTGCCTTAAAAAACAGATCCAACCTGAAAGAGGGGACATTACAACAGACCCTAATGAAATCAAAAGGATGATTACAGTGAACCCTCGCCACTTCGCGCTTCGACTTCCGCGGCTTCACTCTATCGCGGTTTTTGCGTAACAGCGCATGCTCTGTCATTACTGCCACTGATTGGCTCATACTGTACACACTTCTGTCTGCATCGCTACGTATCGGAGCTATGTATCAGATGCATTTTTGCTTTTGTACAGTGTACTGTAATTGTTTGCGATTTTTAAGAAATTTTATCTAAGCCCTATGACGGCTCCTAAACGAGCTGCTTCTTCTAAGCCTTCTGACAATAAAAATAAGTGCCAGAGGAAGATGCTCACCATCCAGGAAAAGGTAAAACTTTTGGATATGATCAAAGATGGCAAGAAAATCGTGGAGGTTGCACGCCATTTCGACTTGAATGAGTCTTCTGTTCGCTCCGTCCGTTGTACTTCATAATATAATAAATAATAAATGATAATTGTAACGTCCAAAATGTTTTACTGCATTTCCCCTTTTTCGTTTAATAAATTGGGTAATACGAGTGTAATGGTGACTAAAGGGTGTTTTTTCATGTCCTCTATGCTCTAACTACGAAAATATTTTATTTACAAATAAGGAATCCTACTTCGCGGAATTTCATTTATCACGGTAGGGTCTAGAACTGATTAACCGCGATAAACGAGGGTTCACTGTACACAGTACTACGAAGGACTGTGCTTCAATGAATTCAACAACTTGGAAGATATGGACAAATTCTTGAACAAACAATCCCTCCCTAAACTGTCCCCGATGGATGTCAAGAATCTCAACAGACCATAGCAATAGAAGAAATAGACAAGTTTATCAAGGGATTACCAACATAAAAAAATCTCCCCTGGACCAGATGGCTTCACAGGAGAATTCTATCAAGCAATCAGGGAAGAACTGACACCAATCCTACACAAACTATTCCAGAACATAGAAAAAGATGGCAAACTCCCGAACTCCTTCTATGAAGCTAGTATCTATTACTCTGACACTGAAACCGGGCAGGGATCCCACAAGAAGACTCAAGAACTACAGGACAATATCCTTAATGAACATCAATGCAAAAGCCTTTAACAAAATACTGGCCAATAGAATACAAAAGTATATAAAACAAATAATTAACCATGACCAAGTGGGATTCATACCAGGGATGCAGGGATGTTTCAACATACAAAAGACCATTAGTATCATGCTCTACATTGACATGAAAAACTGCAAGAACCACATGATAGTATCAATAGATGCGAAAAAGCATTCAAAAACATCCAACACCAATTCCTGTTTAAGAAACCCAAGAAGATAGGAATGGAAGGAAAATTCCCCAAGATCATACAAGTTATATATAAAAAACCAACAGCCAACGTGGTAGTCAATGGAGAAAAGACTAACGCAATCCCACTGAAAAAAGGGACCAGACAAGGATGTCCCATGTCCCCACTCTTATTTAATATCATGCTGGAGGTTTTAGCAAACAGCATGAGGCAAAGAAAAGATATCAAAGGTATTCGCCTGGTGAAGGTGAAACTACTGTTATTTATAGATGGTATGATTTTGTATGTGGAAATTCCAATACTTCACAAGGGGAGCATTGGAAGCAATAGAGGAGTGTGGCAGAGCGGCAGGATGCAAGATCAACAAACAGAAGTCCATCGGACTGTTATACACATCGATAAGACCACAGAAGAGGAGATCAAAAAGGTGGTACCCTTCACAATAGCCAAGCACAAATTGAAGTATCTAGGGATATACCTGACTAAAAGAGCAAAAGATTTATATGGGGAAAACTACAGGACACTATTACAAGAAACCAAGAGTGACCTCAACAAATGGAAGAATACCCCATGCTCGTGGAATGGAAGACTCAATATAGTCAAGACGTCAGTTCTGTCCAAAGCACTATATAAGTTTAATGCAATCCCGATACAATTACCCTCATCTTTCTTCAAAGAAATGAAAAAACTGATTACCAACTTCATATGGAGAGGGAAGAAACCCAGAATTAGCAGAGGACTCCTCAAGAAGAAGGACACAGTGGGAGGGCTTGCTTTACCGAACTTTAACACATATTATACAGCTACAGTGGTCAAAACCACATGGTATTGGTATAATAACAGATAGACCAATGGAAAAGAACTGAAAACCCAGAAAATTATCCACTAGGAAGCAGATGCCCTTTTCAAGTGGTGCTGGAAAAAATGGATATCTACCTGCAGAAAAATGAAGCAAGACCCTTACCTCACTCCATGCACAGGAATAAACTCAAGGTGAATCACAGACCTCGGGGTAAAACCCCAAACTATTAGAGCCATCAATGAGGGAATTGGGACCAACCTGAGAACTTTGGTGCAAGGAATACATAGGCTATCAGAAATAGGGAGGACACAA